GACGCGGTATATTCCTTTTCAAAAGAATACGTTGTCCCTTTTATAACACCGATTCCTTAACGTCAAATGTTTTTTCATTCATTCATAATACGTATGGGAAATCTTGGTAACACAACTCGGAATTGACAACAAAAAGAACTGGAGTTCAGTCCTAACCAGCTAGATGGCGCTTTGACTCATCAGGCAATTTCTCCACAGACGATGACGTATTTACGTGCAATATTCACTCAAAAGTTCTATACGATTATTTACTTCCGTGACCATGTCATCTATACATCAACAATATTAACAACATATGGAAGAGTGTTGACCCAGTGTTGATGTCACACTTCAAAGAAGCCACGTGACAAGCTTCACTGGGTCAGTCTACTGAGGAAGACCAGAGTGACTGGTCGAAAGCTCTAGGTGAGAGAATTTTTTGTGTCGGACCAAAAGTTTTAACTTTAAACATGTAACTACCAAAACAGATGAACTTTCATGATAGTATCAGATATGGAAGATTTCATACATGCGTGAAGCATCCGGAAACTATTGTTCAATTCATATTTGAATGTCCCAAGTTTAGTGAACACAGCACTTTCTTGACAATTAAGCTAACAAATTCAATCGGTCACTTACTTAACTTTAGTATGGTGATAGTGCCAAACTTCATCTTGTTCTAAGAGGCCCCAAAACTGCTGACTAAAATGGCAAAACAAGAGCTCCGCGATTTCATACCTTCGACAAATGCTGTTAACCCTTCCGGTGGACGAATCATACATTTTTACTCTTTGATTCTGCAAAAAGAGCCTCTGCAGGGCTTGTTGCAGGTCACACTTGTGACGACTGATTGTAGACATGGCTCGTTTATTTCTGTACGTACAGTATAATATAATATAATATAATATAATATAATATAATATAATATAATATAATATAATATAATATAATATAATATAATATAATATAATATATTATCATATAGCCGGGTGGCGTAGACCAATCAGAGGCCTCCGTTACCCGTGCTTTATTCTCCGATAAACCATGGCTCAGCCGTGCGTTATTCTCCATAAACCATGGGTGAAACCATAATGATATAGGGGTACACAGCTCTTTCTGTTAATATTCATAGCAGTTTCCTGGTCAGACAAAATTATGTTTTTTTTAAGCTTCATATAAACTAAAATGTGTGTGAGTATGAAATGTATATGTAAATAGATAGAATTTGAACGGGAGAGCAAAAAACCATACTTATTTTGACACCCCTACAAAAAGTGGTATCGCCCACATCACCTGACTGAATCAGACCAGGGATCAGACGATTTATTTTTTTTGGTCCGCCATCTTGCCTTCTTGTGTCATGGAGAGTTTGCCTAATTTCTACATGGAAGAGATAACAGACGCGGATTTAGATGAGATATTTGGACCCATGGAGGTCGAGGAACAGACGCTGGAAGCTACACCGGAGACAGAGGTCAGCAGGGTGCGTTTCGCGTGTCTGAACGAACAACAACTTGGCGAGATAGAGGAGGGGCGAGTTGAAAAAACTACTGAAAGGGCAACCAAGTGGGGAGTGAAGCTTTTGAAAGGTGGGTGTGTTCTTTTTTCAAGTGATTAGCAGGAATAGAATTACATTTGTTTTGCTAATGTTATTGTTACTGTAATATCGACAGGCTGCCAAATTTATAACAGCCCTGTACTGAACTGGAATTTTACAGCAAATTCTCTGATTTAGAATATAATGTTGATAAGTGTGCCAATATGTTATTGGTAGCTGGAGTCTCGGAGAAGTCAGTATTATTATCAACATCCTGTGGGTGTAGTGGAAAATGATCTGTTGCCAGTTGCAATGCTGCAAAAGAAACAATTCTAAAGTGTAAAGTTGTAAACTATATTTATTGTAAAATGATCTCCATATTTATTTTAAAGTACAAACCATGATTATAATATTTTGGAATGTATTGTTATGTAAATATTAAAGGTTTAATGTTTTGAACAGGAATTGTGTTGATTCATTGTGTCAGTTTGGATAGGCTATATGATAATAACGTTAATGCACCGCCTTTTCCTCGGTGTATATGGTGTCATAAATGCATGGTCAGCTGCTATAACCACCTCATAAACCACCTCGTTCGCTTCGCTCACTCGGTTGGTTTATTCGGTGGTTATAGCAGCTGACCATGCATTTATGACACCATATACACCTCGGGGCGGTGCATTAACCCTTTAATATAATATAATATAATATAATATAATATAATATAATATAATGATTCTTAATAAAGAACGCTAACATAAATTACGCAAACAATGTTATGAAATGAATATATTATATTCAATGATGTTCACCATCAATTAATTTCTAAATGCGGCATTAATTTCCCAGCAGTTACCATTATGATATCATAGTAATTTTCCACTAATTATGCAAATTATAGGTTGTCATTTACGTAATAAATATTTGCCAATGACCCTCTCATTCTGAAAATATATAACCTGTGTCAAGATATCACAAGAGTTTCATAGTCCTATATTATAGAATGAAGCAGGTTTATTTCTTCATTATTTATGCAACTTAGATCCCAATTTGCATAATTGTTATTAAGTCATGTCAAGCATACTTCCTTTTTGTCTGATATTGACCTATTAAATGTTGAAAATATTCCTTGCTCCTCTAACGGCTTTCTTGGAAGTACAGTCATGTTCTGAACATGCTAATGCACAAATGTACGAGGTCAGGTTTTGGGCTCAGAAAAGTATGTATTTTAAATGGTAATGAATGAATGAATACGGAAGTCAACGAGATAGCTAGAGAGAGAGAGAGAGAAAGAGAGAGAGAGAGTGAGAGAGAGACACAGAGAGAGAGACAGAGAGACAGAGAGAGGGGGGGAATAAATCTAAAGTACACAGAGGAACGGCTGGTGACACTTATGTTATAAGGAGCAACCAGCTTTGGCTGCATGGATCAAAAAGGACCCCTGTTAATCACCGTCAGTACTGCAGCAAAATTGACATCTGTAACGGTTATCTGGACTGCTAGGGGTCCCCACGACCAAATTACTTTAACCCTTGTCCTGCTGGCATTTTTTACACAAAATTTTTCAATAATTTCATGCCTTAATCACGTCATAGCCGTATTTACGTATAGCGTAGTTACGTCCTCATTCGTTGCGTTTTGCTGCGGTGTGATGCGTTGCACGAGGAATACCCAAGTCGTACATATACAGGGTGCGATATCAGCGGTACTGTATATATGTGCCATCTTCCATGTAGGATAAAACGTCTTGGACTTGGACGTCGAAGACTGTTTGGAGCAAACAGAAGAACTGGTCTCTCACGCCAAGGCATCATTTCCAAATGCCACGATCATGTTGTCACAAGCACGCAGCCGTGCAGATATGACCTCCACTCTAACCTAAACAAAAACATCGAGAACTAGAGTTCCACGATCTCATACCTTCGCCAAATGTTAGCCTTTATGACTAAGAAATTATAGATGAATCCCCCTGATTGTTCGAATAGGATCCTATATTGCATCAATTATATCTGTTGATCATATTCTACACCAGAAGACAGTCTTATCTTATCAATGCATGCCATTATAGCATGTCCTCATAAATTATGCAAATGAGGTCCTTATTTGAATTAATTATGTTTAATAATGTTCACCTTCACATAACTTTCAAATATCCCAAGTATGAAATTCCAGATATTACCACTATGTAATTAGAACATTTTCTCGTTAATTATGCAAATTAAGTCTTCATTTGCATAATCGATATCTGCCTGTATTTCTGCCCTTCTGCATTACATATATCACAAGCTTGAATAGTCCTATCATGGAATGCAGCTGATATATAGAATTTCCTCATTAATTATGCAAATTACATTAATATTTGCATAATTGTAATAACATTATGTCAAGCATCACTTCAGCTACCTACATGCCAAAAATCACGACGATCCATCAATCGGTTCTTGAGTTATCCGCCTTTAAACATTTTTCAACTAATGCCCCTGCAATTCCAGAGCAAGCCGCTAGGGGGTCCAAACTCACGTCACTTGTTCCCCAGCACAAGAGCTACCTACCATCCAAATTTCGTCACCCTAGCATGTCTAGATCACGAGATATCAAAACCGGAATTTCAGCTGCAGTACCATAACAAGCCGTTAGGGGGCCCAAAATCTAATCAGTTCCACGTCTCATGAAGACCTACCCACCTACCAAGTATCAAGACAATCCATCTTAGCCTTCTTGAGTTATCGTGCTCACACACACACACACACACACACACACACAGACACACGAACGCCAACGAAAACATAACCTTCTTGGCGAAGGTAACTAGAACCAATCAGTTCTACAGCTAAGCAGGGACACAAAACAATCTATGTTTCTCACAAGAAACTGTCTACAACAAGACATCTCTACAAGCGCGATGGAATTGACCTGGATGACGTCACAGAGACACTCCTTCTGACTGCTGATGTGAAATTAATACTGAACATATCACTTGTTCTGAAATCAGCCATAAACCCAAATTGGTAAGGTTATTATTTTCGAGAAAAATCTGAAGCCGTTTGTTAGAACTGTATTTTAGTATAGTTTATGTATGTACGCTTGTCTTTTACTTCTTCACAGGAATGGAATTTCCACAGGAATGTCTCTGACCCACATCTATGCCTACATTCCTGGAATTGGAAACCCTTGGGAAAACCTGTCTGCCCCAGATGGCCCTAATTTCTGTGACTTCACTATACACTCAATTTGTCTAGACTTAAAAGGTACCAAGGCTTCCTCAATATCATGAAACGATGGCAGTGCCATGCAAACAATAACCATAACAGCAACCACCGTCGCCATGGCAATGTTGCCAGTCTTGTTTACTTTTGGGTAGTGTCAACATTCTTACATGATCTGTCACTCTTAATCTTGTCAACACGGACGAACCTTAGTTCAACATATCTTGATAAAGCAGAGGCATGGAGAGAGAGTGTTTACTTTCATTTATTCCTATATAGTCCTAGTCAGTTCACAAAGTATTTTAACAATGAGAATGAATCATATGACATATAACACACAAAACATAGAAACAATGTCTGAATGAATGGAATGGGTCAACCGGGAGATAAGAGGATGCTGATTCGTCGACGCTTTAGCCAATGAAATGGCTCAACCGGGAGATAAGAGGATGCTGATTCGTCGACGCTTTAGCCAATGAAATGGCTCAACCGGGAGATAAGATGATACTGATTGGTCGACGATTTAACCAATGGAATGACTCAACCGGTAAGAGGATGCTGATCCACAGAGCAGCTTGGGTTGTACAGGTACTGTAGGGGGAAGCCGGGACCGAAGTTGAGTTCCCAACAACACAGTTCCCCCAAGTAATGGAATCCCTGTTGGTCACAGTTGCTGGTCGAATAGTGGGCGTACAGGTGAACTGGGTTATCCGGGGTCACTTCGCGCCCTGGTGGGGAAAAAGAAACAAGAAAGGTAACATTTGCCAAGGAAATGGATAATGTTTACCTTCAACGCTCGTTGAACACCGGAGAGATACCTAAAGACTGGAGGGATGCAAATACAAGGAACAACACTGAATTGGTTAAAAGCTTTCCTAACAAACAGGGAGCAAACAGTAGGAAGGAAGGCTTCGGCTCCAGTTAGAGTAGCTTCAGGAGTTTCGCAAGGAACTGTCCATGGACCATTGCTATTTCTCTTGTATATTAATGACCTACCAGATCAGCTTGATTCAAACTAGGTGAGATTATTTGCCGATGACTGTCTGTTGTATGTAGAGCTGTCTACACTGAATGACTCACACCTTTTACAAAAAGATCTGAACATGCTGGAAGAATGGCAAAGCAAATGGCTCATGCAGTTTAACCCAGAAAATGCTACATTATGCATATATCAAACAAACGAACCCCACATATAACTAGCTATCTGTTCTGCGGTCAAGCCTTGGCAACAACAAAAACCCACCCGTATCTCGGTGTTACATTGACAAGTAGCCTGGGGCACGCATGTTAACAACATCACTGCGAAGGCCAAACAAACATTGGGAGTAATTAAGCGCAATCTGTGGTCATATCCAACAAGGGTAAAATCAATTGCATACATGTACACGTCGCTTGTAAGACCAAACTTAGAATATGTCGCGACAGTATGGGGTCCATATACAAAGAAAGACAAAGATAAACTGGAAAGGGTACAGAACCAAGCTGCAAGATTCTGCACGAACAACTATCAAAGGGGTGCTAGTGTAACGGAAATGAAAAGAAACCTACAGTGGGGGTCGCTGGAAGACAGACGTAGAATGTCCAGACTGTGCATGATGTACAAAATGACTAATAAACTGGTGGACGTACCAACCACTAAGTGTCTGATACCAGCCCGGAAAAGAACAAGAAACAGTCATGCCTTCAAATATCAGAGTTATCAACCAAGAATTGAGGTATTCAAAAACTCGTGTTTCCCCATAACTATCGTAGACTGGGACTCGTTTCCCCCAAGCACAGTTGGGGCATCATCACTAGAAAGCTGTAAACAACTCCTGCAATCAAATGTGCCAAGATTGAGTGTAACAAGTCGTTCGGTGTGATATAGGCTAGCTAGCTGCAGCCGCGCCGCGTGCCTGCGAAGCTGGTGTGTTACGCCGAAGGGTGGTTATACCGGCTATACCGATACAAATACAGATGCATACAGATACATTCATATTATATATATGGCCAGACAGGAGTAATTCCCTCCTACTATGAAATTGCAACGTTATGTAACCGAACAGCAGGTATCATTGTGAGAGACAAATCAGGCCATTGACCATGTCAGAGGTCAGTTGTTTGGAACGGAAGAAAAAGAATAAACAGCAACAGCAAAAACAGTATGTTTTCCGCCTTCGGTAAACATAAATGTTGTAATATATTTGTTATAAAGATGACATTGTTGTCAAGATGACATTGTCACCGGTAGAAATAAATAGCTACATGTAACTTGAAAGGCCGACATTTGGAGCAAATGCAGCAGATGGCTTCACCACATTAGCCTGGGTACCATCCGGATTTTCGCTACGCAACGCTCGAAAAAATCATTGATTTTTTCGAGCGTTGCGTAGCGAAAATCCGGATGGTACCCAGGCTATCACCACATCCCCCGTACCAAAAATTAACCTATCCCCCCGCACAAATGGACTGTTCCAAAATTTCCCCTGTCCAAAATGTGAAGTAGTCTATACACCCATACAGCAATGAAATCTTCCAATCCCTGCTGCTGTTGGAACTTGGAACATCGAGAACCATGGTAGAACGGCCAGTGTTCTAGAACTGTAAGTTGGGAATTTGGGTTTTCTTTCTTTATTCTGTATTCTTTATTAGGCCACACCGACTTGATGTTATGCATGAATTTAAAAAAAATATATCACGTTCACTGAGGTCCTGGGTTCCGGAGGATGGCACCCAGGCTAACGAAGCTCCACGACTCAAGTACATGCAGTGTCGATTCATAAAATAAAAAAAAAATGTCAGCATGTGCCGGCTTGTCGTATACGTCCCAATGTACAGCCGCGAATTCACAATACCAGCTTTGTATTCCTGTGGTTTAGAAGCATTTTTATTTTTGGCCGGAATTTTTTTTTATTCGCCCGCGCACTAGTTTCGGGGTCTTCAGAGGATGTCATCCATAAAATTTAGGCGGTGTGGCCTTATCATATAGCCGGGTGACGTTGACCAATCAGAAGGCTCCATTCCACATTCCTTATGACGCCGTAATGTCACAAAGATGATGATGAAGACAAGATGATGCAAATGAGTCAGAAAGCTCCTGTTATACAGAACAGGAGCTAAGTGTTGTCTGTCCTCGGGGCTGGGAGTGCCAAAATTCAAGTGCCGGAAAGATCGACCCGTAGCCCCCCTTCCCTGTTGAGGGTAGGGTTGTACATTCTTTCATATATTGCCTCTTTAACACCCCGTTCCCACCAGCGTGTTTCGCGGTCTAAGATATCCGTGGACTCGAGTTTGAAAGAGTGACCCTGGTTGTGTTGTAGGTGGTGGAAAATAGCTGAGGAGTAGCCGTTGGCACTAGGTCGGCAATGTTCTTTGTATCTTACTTTGAGCGGTCGACTTGTCTCCCCGATGTAGGTGTTGTTGCAATTGCAGGAGCTTTCAGACTAATTTGCATCATCTTGTCTTGACTTGTCTGACTTTTGTTCCTTTTTCGACTTCCTAAAATTTGTCTTCACTTTATTTGCATATCAATCAATAGTTTGTGCTTATAAACCTGCATTTCCCCTGGCTCTGGTCTCTCAGTCACTGACGAAAGCTAGTGGATACTAGCTGAAACGTCTGACGTTTTCAAAATCATATCCAGTTGCTTGAGTAACTACTTTTGGAATAACCTTTATTGTACATTCATAATATTAGGGCACAGGAGCCAACAATATATATTGTTTGGTCAGCAAATAGCCCAAAAGCTCTATTTCACACAATTTTAAAGTAGTGTATGTCAAAAAAGTGAATTATATTCTTTGGAAATGTGTCCAAGGTATCCCCATGCCGAATTTCAGGTCATTCGGATTTAATACCAGGGCTCCAGATCCCTAAATGTTTATTTTTTTGCCTGAAAATAGCACAAAAAAATCAAGGGCCTGTATAAAAAAATAAAATAAATAAATAAAAAAAAACGTCTGGGGGTATTTGCCCACTCTGCCTTCATGCCAAATGTCATGTTATTTGGCCAAAAAATGGCAGGGTTGAAACCTTTTGAAGAAATGACAAGAGAAGAAGGAGAAGATGAAGAAGAAGTAGAAGAAACATGAGGGAAAACAATATGTCTGAAAGTGAACTAGTGTCAAGCATTTGGTGCCAAGTTACTTTTATGCTACTTCATGTTATTCGGATTTGGCATTAATTAGCGGATAGAAGCCAAAAATGTACGTTTTTGCTAAAAATAGTCACAGTTTACGTAACTTTCGTGTGTGCTTTCTAGAGAGATATACAGGGAGACGGAGAGAGGGAGAGAGAGAGAGAGGCAAGGCTGAGAGCAATGGGAGAGAGGCATGCGCAGAGTGACAGAAAGAGAAAGCATACCACATTACTAGAATATTAAATATTAAAAAAACACTAAAGCATCTACTAGTACTTACTTAGTTCGTTACAAGCATTGATTCCAGCATTGTGGTCCAGAGGGTTGACCGTCCCGCCCAGCTCAGTGGCGGCGTCACTTCTGTACACATGCAGCAGGAAAAAAAAACATTAGGACTTTATAAGTGTAGAATAAGAGTACCACTACCTCATACCTTTGCCAAATAATCTTGCTAAATTCGCAAAAGTCACAGGTGAAAATTTCGATTCTACCTGCAATCATCCGGGCATCTCTCCTTTGCATAATTGCAGGTGACAAGAAAGTTGTCATAGATCCGATCGTCTACGTCCATAAACTCTGGACTGGTTCGGTCAATACCGGTCCGGATTTCACAGAAACAACTGTGGGAGAAAGACACAAACATTGTATCACTATCATCATTTCAGCTTGTTGCCCCACTCAGTACCTCCTCTCTGAGGATTCCCGTCATTAATTTTTTTTCCACAACTTGCACCACAATTTAGTCTTTAATTGTCTAATTTATCTCTTGAATTATTTGATCGCCGAGGCATCGCTAGCCTTGAAGCCAAACCATGGTAGGCTCCCCCTGGTTGCTCCACGGTGCTGAACATCTTTTTCATCCTCTTCCCTTACGATTGCGATTCGAATGTTGGTCTTTATAGAATATATTACGTTTTAGACATCTTTGGACCTAAAAAGTTATAATACAGCTACCAGGCATATCGCAGCTACCAGCCAGCGATATGCCATCGTAAGGCGACGACAGCTCAGAAAGGCGACAACCGCTAACGGGATCCTCACATTGCGATGTTCACATTCCGATGTTCCGTCGAGCATCGCGCGAATTTTTTGGGATCGCCGGCGATTTTTTGGCAGTCGGCCGAAGCTCGCTGACACGCGAAACGTGTTCTTCATCATCATCTATCGGCTAACAGCCGGGACTAAGCTAGTACAGATTTCTCTCCATACAGCCCTATCAAGCATTACATTTTCTAAGTCATCAAAGTCAATTCCAGTGTCTCTAACTAAGGTATCGGTGAATGTCAAACTTCTGGAGTGCACTCGTCCACGTGGTTTCCACATGAGTACAGATGAAACAATTTCTTGCTTGGCTCGGAAACAATGTCCAGCGAACATAACTCGACGGTGGGTGAGTTTTTGAGACAGTCTTGGGAGTCCTCCATAAATTTTTTCGAGAGTGGCATGTTGCCTCCAAGATATATTCTGTGCCCTCCGCAAGAGTTTTGTATAAGTCCCGTCCAATCGTTTTTGAAGCTGACAGGTAAGTGTCCAACTTTCTGCACCATAAAGCAGTATCGGTTCTACAAGGGTAAGAAAAACTTGGACTTTCAATTTGTTAGGGATATTAGACTTCCAGATCTTATCCAATTTGTTGCATGCTTCCCATGCTAGGGCTTTTCTAGTTTCAAAATCTTTCCTTGGGCACATAATGAAGGAACCAAGGTATTTAAAGTTTTCTACTTTTGTAATGAGTGCCCCAGACAATGATCTCAGTTCTAATGGTCCAGAAATGTTACTGATGTATTCAGTCTTTGATTCATTACAAAAAAGCCCCACAAGGGATGCAGCTTCTTCTAGGGATTGAAGCAAGGTTTCTGCATTTTTAATCAGTTCAGCAACCAGTGCAAGGTCGTCAGCAAAGTCCAAATCAGTGAGATACTGGGCAGGGTGCCTTCGACTCCTGCGCGGTTTGATTTCTATGCCCTTGTCTTCATTTACGTCTAACGTGTTCTTAACATCAGCGTCAGCGACTAGTCGCCGGCGATTTTTAAGGGCGCAGAGCTTGTCTCGCCAGTAGCTCCCCCGCACTGGACGAAAAGCCACGTTTCCGGGTCGGATACACCCGTACACACGCCCGGAAATTCCAAATATATACGGAAATGTCCAGGTGTCCGGGCCGTTTACAGGCCACAATATCTTCCTCATCAGTCCGTCAACGGGTCGTACACACCGCACCCCCTCTAACATGCCTTTATAATGTAAAGTAGCATCTTGGCTCTTTACCCCCCTTCTTGTTTGCATGATTTTGTTTTCTTTATTAATTGTACATGGTCTTTGGGCTTTGTTAGTTTTTTTTTACCTTCATCAAGAAGGTTATTTTTTTCAGCGGCGTTCGTGTGTGTGTGTTTGTGTGTGTGCGTGTGCGTGTCTGTGTGTGTGTTTGTGTGTGGTGTGTGTGTGTTCGTGTGTGTGTGTGTGTGTGTCTGTGTGTGCGTGTGCGTGCCTGTGTGTGTTTGTGTGTTTGTGAAGACGATAACTCAAGAAGGCTTCGATGGATTGTTTTTATATCTCTTGTGGTTAGGTCCTGATGAGACCTCAAAATAATTAGATTTCGGGACCCCTGGTGGCTTGACCCCTGGGTACTGCAGCAGAATCGTCGTCTTGATATTCAAATCCGGTTTTTATATATCATAATCTGGACATGCTAGGGTTACAAAATTTAGATGGTAGATGGCCCTTTTGCTTGGAACTTGACATGAGTTTGAGCCCCTAGCTGCTTGCTCTGGAACTGCAGCTGCATTTGTTGAAAAATCTTTTAAGGAGGATAAGTCAAGAACCGATTGACGAGATCGATAAAGAACGCACTTTAACCCTAAACAGTACACCTGGGGTCCGCGCGGACCCCAGCACCATATATTCTGCAATATCTTTTTTGTTTCTAAAGATTTTTTTCTGAAATTTTAGGTAATTGTCACCCACAAAGTTGTCTCTCAATATAGTGCAGAAAACTCCGTTTCTACCATTTATAAAAAAAATTATATCTGATTTTCTTTTGGGGTCCGCGCGGACCCCAGCCGGCTTTCGATCATAATGGATACACTGGCGTTCTTATACATTACCTTATTTCCGTTTTTATATGTCTTTATGCACTCATCGTATGTCTACCAAGATTTCAGAGAATGGTGTAGTAATAGAATTAAATTTTAATAACTTTGGTGTAATTATGACGTCATATGACGTCAGAGCTAATAATATAGTCCGCCATATTGGATTTTGACCAATGACGTCATCAAATTAGCATATTCTATGCATATTAAATGATTTCTAGTAACTTGTATTTAATTATGTAAGATGTTATTAATGTTGGAAAAGAAGTGTAATTTAATATAAAACTCAGAAAATTTTTATGTTTAAACCAAAATTACTTCTATTTTCAAAAAAAACTGCCTGCTAGAAACCCTATGCCATGGCAACACAAAAAACATCAACTTACTAGTATTAAACTAATATGAACTTTTTTCAGGAGACATTTTAGGAAAGGTCTCCAAATTTGATACTTCTAGCGCAAGCCGTTTAGCCGCTATCTGAGATCAAAGTTGGGCCTCAAAAGCCCCTTCAGTCTGAAATTGGTTTAAAAATCGGGTATTTCTTCTTGTCTTCTTTTCTTCACCAAAAAATAGAAAAAGTTCAAAATGTATTATTTTTGTATGTAATGTGGACACAGAGGTTCCCACATCAGTTTGCAAAACAATTGAGCTGGTAGCATGTTGATAATTTCTAAAAATTAGCAAAAAACTGTTCTGGGGTCCGCGCGGATGGTACAGATTAATCAGTCCGGGAAGGTGTTCTGTTGAGGGTTAACCCTACCTAGACCGGGCTTTTTTTGACATGGGGGGACCGGGGGGGGGGCGCTTTTGACCCCCCCTATGAACTCGCGAACGGTATGTCGTATGACCACCAAATTTTTAGAGAATGGTGTACTAGTGAAAATGTATCATATCTACAATTTTTATGTCGTTATGACGTAATATAACGTCATTATGACGTCATTAATGTGATTTTATTGGCCAAAACCGTCTAAATAGGTTTTTCCCTGAAAACTAAATGGCATTCAACATAACAAAAGTGTTTATGACAGAATATTATGGTGTACTAAGTCTTATGTTGCCCATAGCAACACCGGTGACGTCATAAAATGACGTCATGCATATTTAAGATATCCGCCATCTTGGATCATCAATCTTGAATTTTCAAAAATATATTTTTTTTTTAACGGTGTCGCTCAATGCAAGGCCATTTGGCCACTTCTAGGCATAGAGCTAGCCTGTAACTGTAGCAGCAACTCTTCTCCCTGAGTCAGAAACATCATCACAAGTAGTGAGGACTAACTGACCCACTAGGAGAAGCAGGGGTTACGAGGCTGGTCGGGAAAATTCCCTACCCCTTTTTTTGACCATAATGGTTCGTTCCACTTCCGCTCACGTGGATTCTTTAACGTGCTTGAGGTGTGTCTCTTCTCAAACACGGGACCTCCATTTTAACGTCCCATCCGATAAGACGCCCCTAACCGAAGCTAGGTACTCATTTTCACCTGAGTGAAGTGAGGAAAATCGTGTAAAGTACCTTTCCCAAGGGTACAACGTCGCGGCGCATGTTCGGACTTGTTCGGGTACGACCCGGAATCGAACCCGGGTCTCCCGGTTTCACAGTCCTGTGATGTACCACTACACCACACGACGCCATTTTTCCATGATAAAGCCAAAAATACATTTTAAACATACTAAAGACCTTCATTTAAACCTTTTTTGGAAAAAGAAATGGAAGTATTGATGAAATTTTAATGAAAATAATCTGTATATACCTGTTCTAATGATATGGTCCGCCATCTTAGATTTTGGCCAATGACGTCATCAAATTAGCATAAATTATGCATATTTAATGATAAAATTTACATAAAATTATATGGGATGTTATTTATATTAGAAACCATGAGTAACTTGACATAAAACCCATAAAATTCTATTGTTGAAACAAAAAGTACTAAATTTAGCAAAAAATGCCTGTCAGAAACCCGTTGCCATGGTAACACAAATTTTTTTTATCTTATTCCAATGATAGAGAATTGTTGCCAACAATATTCTTGGAAAAGTCACCAAGTTTGGTCGTTCTACGGCTAGCCGTTCAGACGCTAGGTGACATCAAAGTTGCCGCGGGCACTTTTAGCCCCCCCCCCCGTGTACACTATATGACATCCAGTAGATTTCTAGCGGGGACCAATCAGAGGGCTGCTGACAGGTCACCGACTAGCAGCTATTAGCACCTTGTTTCATGTAAATGCCAAGAACTCAACCAGAGAGCGCAATTGTTTTTGTTTACTTCAGTCCTAAGTACTAGTACTTCCACAATCAGTTTGTAAAGTCATACCTTAGTAAAATCTACTTTGATGAACGAATCTAATTTGACGAACGAATCTAAACGGGACTGTAGACATGAAGTTTTGCACATTCAAATGGGGCTGCACTAGCGCTAATGGAGCGATCACTTCGGGAAGGAACGGATCATAGCAAAGCCGAGATTTGTGAAGCAAACGCAACCCATCGAAGACGGAAATGACAGACAACAAGCCAACAAAGACAACATCACCGGACCAACAAACTTGGAGAACATCACAACAACTTCAAGCGCTAACGTTGTAAGAACTGTGGAACCTCAAATTATGTTTGCGTCAGCGGAAAGGCTGCCGAAGCAACCACTACGTACAAAACTGCGACGAAAAAGTAACATGGGTTCGTCCCAAATCTGGACCAAGTGAGCTACAAAAGTAATAGAACCTAAAAGTATGCATCTTGCTTGTTGCTGTCAACTTACCCGTTAAAGATTGAACCGATACATGTACTTACTATAACTTGCCATACCCTGCCAAACACGACTACATTAGTGTTACTCTTTATCTTGTGCTGTATAATGTTTATGCGTTACATTATCTATCATTGCCATTTCTGTGAATTCTATAAAACATCTACTGTCAGTTTGTGTAACATTACGTAGTGCTACAATCTGCGTAAAAAGTGGGCTTCATTGCGTGTTATCTGCTAAGTCGTGTTGGTATTGAAAACTGTTTCATTGTGACGTTCTCCTACAAACAGCCAGCAGAATTATGACGATACCCGTTCTCAATACACATGCTGCAAACTAAAGAAATGGCAGTCCTACAAAAATTCTCTTTGTAATGTATAAGCGCTTTATATTGACGAACAATGGTTGTGAAGTACGTGTTTTCGCCTATCGTGTGCCACCAGACCAGTGATAATTGGCTACTCTACAAGTGAAAGAACCGCGTCCGTGGGCCTTGATAAATTATTCATTAGTTGGTCGCCGCTAGAAATTTACTGGATAGCATTCAGTGACGAGCCCCCCCCCCCCGGTCTAGGTAGGGTTAAAGATCCCACCTTTCGAAAAACGGTAGCGGCATGCCCCGGTGTGCGATGCATACAAAAGCTACTGTGTGGAATTGAAGATCCACTTCCAATCACCCGAATGGCGGCCTGGCGAACCTCTGTTCCGTATCAGCCACATGGTGATTACATCACCACACATGGTGATTACATCATCACCCGGACGAAGGCGTGGCGAACCCCGTCTTGTATTAAGCTAACGAAAGGGTATGCCACCTCGTAAGGGGCGGTATAACCCCGACCAATACGGTCGACTGATGATGATGATGAAAGGCACAATTTTTAGAACAATATTATCTTATCAGCTTTGTGCATAAAAAGATGCCGATGTAATAATAACAAGAAGCCATAGGTGACAATCCTCCGTGAAATTTTATATTTTGCAACAAAAATAATCCCAAGCGTCAACGCCAGACCTACTGTGCAGACATTAGGCAACGGTTAATACAATGAGGGCGCGTCACAATGATAAAACATAAAAAGACCCAAATCCATTACTGCTCCTAGGGCTTGTAAAGATACTGTGCTTCAAGTTCGAAGTTCATTTTAATTACACACACACAATCTTTGCACTCACATAAAGATCGGACTATCATTATCTATCATGGTCGTGTCACTAGTAACAAAGACAGCCCCACCGTCTTACCGTGCCTGTTACTTATTAAGCGCGACTGGCCATGCGGCCAGCACGCGCGAGTGTTACTGCCGCCGGTCAGATACCCGGGCAAAACCATTTCAACGACATTATAGGGATGTTTCAAAAATAAGCATTTACTCCAATATCAAAACTGCTAGGGTAAAAATAAAAAGACGTGCATCACCACGGGCATAATGGCACACCACATGCCAAATAACACAGAAATGCTACGTACGGAACAATGCGTTTTGGCTGCGAACATCTATGGTACCACTTATCGACCCTCCGCACCTCTGCATGAAGTTCCACCCCCCCCACTGCTATTCCAAACAACGCGTTTTTCTGGACCATTCCAATTCGCCTCGTAATTGTAGGGGTGCAATATTACATTGACCGCGCGAAAGCAGCAACGGCAAAAATACACATTCGTGCATCAACACGGGCATGCCCGCAGGCGGCGTATAAAATTGCGTGCCGATTACACAAAGAGAACCCAGTGTTTTGACTGCGAACACGAAAAACCAGCCGTTCACAACACTCCGTCCGGAGGTCCTGACCTCCTTCACGGAGTAATAACCATTATGTTTTGTTATGCGTTTTGGATGAATGGTCTAGAAATCGTGCGAGCATCGATAGATCGTCGACTGTATCTCTAGCGGCGTACGCCCGTGTGTCGAGCGAGGTAGTCGTTATGGTAATAGGATGATAATGTGAATTTGTGGCTCTTCTGGTAGTACTAGTATTTGTGTTGGGTCTGTCACAGAAGGATCTTCAGGAAGCGTACGGGAATGGTTATAAGGGCCGACTGGGAGATCTAGCATATCAGGAGAGAAACTAAGTATGCTTAAGTTAGCCCACGCACTTGTATTTGCAATAAACTTTCTCAAATTGATCCCGCCACAAACACATTATGAGGTACATAATACACACGACAAGCAGAGCACGAACTTACATAGTAACTAAATGATGAACAATTGACAAGGACGTCTTTGTACAGTATTTACTGGCTTTCGTCTGAGTCATTTATTTGTCTAATGTCTTACACGTCTTCAACGCTGACATAATCAATGTTTATTTATAACAAGTGACACTTTAATTGAGTGCCTCATTTTGCCACAGCATTCACTCGCAAACGGTAAAATGATAATCTACAGCAAACATGGTCGTCATGGTGTGAAGGAAACAAATCATTTCACACTGGAGGGTGATGTATTCTACTAGACTATAGGCCTAATACTTTAAAGCTTGCCTCGAGTATACTTGGAAGTGTAGTTCGAGTAAGGAGGTGTAATTTATAGCCATCCTTTATATCTTTAATATGGAGAGGTGTAAGTATTCTGGACTAGTATAGTCTATATTATACATAGATATGTACCGCATCATGTTTTCATCGCAAGTGGTCTGTTTACCTCCATGAAAAATGGAGGTATTGTTTTTGGCGTGTATGTCTGTGTGTGTGTCTGTGTCTCTGTGTGTGTTTCCGCAACTTTGTAGTCAGCATAACTTCATAACGCCTTTATGGGTTGTGATGATATTTGGTATGCTGGTAAGTCTTAGGAAGACAAAGCTGAAGGTCAAATATGGGCCTCCTGGTGGATGACCTTGGTACTGCAGCAGAACTTCCGGTTTTTGTATCTTTTGTCCTGAGCATGCTGTTGTCTTTACTTTTTGCTGACATATAGCTTTTCCTGTCAGAAATGAGTGGTGTGGGTTTGGTCCCCTTAGCAGCTTGTTCTGGAACTGCAGGGGACGTTCTGGCGAAATCTTTAAAAGCCAATAAGTCAAGACAGGAACAACGTATTGTCATCATTTTTGGTGTGTATGCAGCTAAGAGAGAATGGTACATTTTATGGAAATGAGGACTTAATTTGCATAATTAAGGAGGGAATTCTATAGTTACAGTATTTTATATAATAGTTCTTTTATATATGTAATCTATTTAATCTGTGGCAGGCAAAACATGAACAGATACCAATTATGCAAATGATGACCTAATTTGCATAATTAACGTGAAAATTCTGTTTTCTTCTTATTGGTGAATAATGGGAACTTTATACCTCGTGACATGTGTAAGTTACTTAAAGGTTAACACCACTATACATATATTATGTTAATGTAGAGGTCATTTGTATAATTAATGAGGACATGTTGAAATGAAGTATGACAAAGCAAGCCCATATTTCATGGAGGTATGAGATCTCGGAAATCTTGTTAAGAATAGTTTACATTCCATTATTACGACATCCATTCTAGCATGTATACGAGTCTGTACGAGTTTTTGGAGTTCTGTGAAGCGTCGGTAGCCTAGGTGCCATTCTCCGTAGTTACCACCGACTCCCTAGTGTCGCTAGCTACCATTGACTACGGAGGATGGCACCCAGGAGCCTTTGCAGGCTGGGTGTCATTATCCGTAGTTACCGCCGGCCCGCAATGGAGAATGGCACCCAGACCAAAGCCTCTGAGGAGGTGATTTTTAAGAAAAGTAAAAAATCAGTGCGCGCGCGGATACCACCCATGAAATATATAAAATCAGTGTGGCTTAACAACACAACTTACGTTCGTGTGTTCGCCATGGCAGAACCGACGAGAACCACGAACAGGAGAAGGATCATTCGCGCCATGGTAACGATTCTGGAAGCAATAGGTAAAAACAAATGTAAAAAAAAAATCAATATACAAGCTTTAGCAGCATCTACAACGAAGACAACATTTCCAATCGGTTACAAAGTCTTGCCTTTTTTCTAGAAAACTATATATAAAGCGCCCAACTTAAAAGTGGAGAAAGAGAATTTTTTAACGGCTCTCAGTGGCCAATGTGCAGGTGTTGTCACATTGGCGCACCAAATCCGTAAGGTGTTTTTGGCACACATTTAGACAGATTAGCCTAAGAGGCTCGGTGGGCGTCACTCCACCGTACAGGTGGGGAAGTCGTGTAAAGTGCCTTTGCCAAGGGCACAACGTCGGGCCACGGTGAGTATCGAACCCGGGACCTCTCGGGTCCGAGTCTAACGCTCTAACCGTTGCGCCACCGACGCCACAAAAGAGAAAAAAAGAGGAGAAAAACAACAAGAAGTCAAACTTACGGTGCGGCTCTTCGTTGTAGCTGAAAGAATCTACCAGGTCCTCAGGCTATGGTATGACGAAACTCTGCAGAGCAGGGACTTTTATACATCTTGTACTAAATGCAAATAAAGACTAACGTTATGTTCGAAAGCCTTCTCAAAAGGAAGCTGTCACTGTAATTTGCATTTCATCTAGCAATTTGTGAAAAATATTTACATAGGATTATTAAATCGTCTGCGGCTCACATACTTGGAGTCGGAATTAATTAAGTTTTTAAAGCTGTTATCGTCCTTATAAAAAGCTAAGTGTAAAAATATTTACATAACATTGAATTGAATTGTATGCATTAGGCGTCACGTACACAGTACTCGGATCCACAAGTAATTGGATTTTGAAAGCTGTCTCGTGCCACAAAAAAATTCGACAGGAGATACATAAAAATTGTTTTTAGATAAGCTGGCATGTACTTTTCTTTGGATTGGCACGGTTCTACACACCCACTCGACATAAGAGGGCACTCGCGGTTATTGTTAACACCTCTATGTAGGAATGCACCTAGCACGTCGCCATTTACAGGTTTGAAATTGAACTGTACAATAATTGTAATATTTCAGACATTGTTACTATTATCACCATGTTTTTTTGTCAATACAGTAGAGGCAAATGAAGTGATAAGGAAATGGTGTAACCGCAGACTGACAGGAACATAAAATTGGAGGTGAAGCTGGGAAAAGAACACTGACGTCAGGTCAAAGGTCACAAAAAGGTCCCAAGACACGTTACTAGAGGTCATTTTATTTTCTGTCGGCAAGTTCCTACTTCATGCCTACACAGATCTAGAATCAGCCGGAAAATTACAATAATGAATTTCAATTTAAAAACAATTAATTCATAACTCTAAGTACCAAGGCTCTTGATGGCCCACTCCGCTACAATGGTCCCTTTCTTGGGTAGACTGTCGTCAACACCTTGAGACGATTCATATTCCATCTTCTGATGAGACTTACATGTAGTTGCAACTTTCTCAGGTATAGACAGACCGTTAGGTCCTTCTTGGTCAAGGTTTCCAACAAATAAAAGGTCATTTTAAGGACCTTAAGAATCGTCCAACTATTGCCTCATGTACGATATTACCAGCAGTAAATTTTTGTATCAAACTCAAGACTCTTATTATAAATAGTTACAGGAAACAGGGTTTCGAGATTAACAGCAGTAAGATTGCGAGATTTAATCACGTTATTATATTTATATTTCAGTCCATACCACATGGCATGGATGAAATATATTGTGCTCTCTCATGTTTCTTCTTCTCCTCCTCCTCTTTCTCCAGCCACCCAGTCAAATGGATTCAACTCTGTCATTTTTCAGCCAAATGACATGAAATTTGGCATGGAGGTAGAGTGGGGCAATACCCCCAGGCGTTTTTTATACATGCCTTTGAAAATTTCTATGAAGGTTTTTGGGGCATTTTAGACTGGGAGCCATCAGATTTGTAACAGCTACCCCGAAAAAATCGTTGGGGTAGCCGTTACAAATCGGATGGCACCCGATTTTTTCTGGGTAGCCGTTGCAAATCGGATGGCGGCCAGGCTACTGTGCCTGGGCAAAACCCAGATTTTGCTATGGGCAACATTAGACTTAGTACACCCTAATATTCTGTCATAAACACTTTTGGTAAAGTTATGTTGTATACCATTTAGTTTTCAGGGAATAACCTTTCTAGACGGTTTTGGCCAATAAAATCACATTAATGACGTCATAATTACGTCATATTACGTCATAATGACATAAACGTTATAGATATGATAAATTTGTACTAGTACACCATCCTCTAAAAATTTGGTGGTCATACGACATACCGTTCTCGAGTTCTGAGGGGGGGCGGGTCAAATGACGCCCCCCCCCCCCGTCCCACCTAGCCCCAAAAAGCCGTCAAAAAGCCCGGTCTAGATAGGGTTAAATACGTGAGTACAGCCTTTAAGATTGAAATGCTATGCACAATACATTATCCGTGTGGGCAGGTACATGAGGGGGGGAGGGTCAAGGAAATTTTTTTTGTGCAAGGGGGAGGGTCAAGGGGAAAAAATTGACCCGGGGGGAGGGTCAGGGAATTTTTTTGCAAAAAAAAAAAAAAAAACAGTTTTCAAATTTTAAAAGAAATAGTGACCGCTCGGCACCGGCGCGGCGGAAGGCGCACAATTACGCTTGCGTCGGCCTTGGGGTCATCCGGACTCCAGTATGACGGTAACTGCCGTAATTCTTCCACCCAGAAATTTGTCAGTTTTGCCACTCAATTATACCTGGTACTTGTGTGCAAGTAGCATGGGAGATTTTGTAAATAAACTGCACTGTTTGTAATAATTGTATGTGACTGGTCACTCGACTGACATGTTTACTTAGTATTCCGACTCCGTGTAACGTTCAAGGGGAAAGGCTGTTCATGTTAGTTTCGAGAACAAATGCAAACAAATAAACATGAAAATAATCAGCAGGAACGAAATAGGTTTTAACAAAGGTTTCATCTTATTTCTCACGATGTAAGGCCTCCCAAACTCGGTAGCCACGTAGCTGAAAACATTGGACTAGAATACTATGCGGGAAGTAAACAAGTTTAGGGAAGAGGGCGGTCGCACCGATAATACGGCAGCGGCGGTAAAAGGAGAGGCCGACAAACACTCTCACCTTCCCTCTCAAAATGAGGAAAATGCGTTATTTGACGTTTAGAAATAAAAAATTTCCAGAACTCCCAGACTGCGAGCGTTCGCGCCTGTCTGCCCAAATATTTGGACGCACTCATGAGACGGGGCTGGCGGGAACGCTGGAACTTAGGAGAATGGCAAAAGTTGTAGAGCCCAAAACTTGTAGGGCAAAAATCCTGTTTAAAAACGTTCTTTTCCTACTTGTGAATCTCCAATCTTTCCATGGGTCAAAACACGGACACTTGCAGCACGGTCCCCCAAGTACTAATCTCCAAGCAGATCTTTTGGTGGGGGTAAGACAGTATCAAATTGGCCAGTCTGTATCCATTTCCCCACCCAAGATCTGCAGGCACTCGAACAGGGAGGAGCACTTCTTTTCAAAAAAATGGTGTTGCTGCCCCTCCTTGTGTCCCTATTAACAACTATCAAAAATTTGTTGTGCTAAGATTTTTACAAGCGGTTTATAGCTTAAATCTGGGACAAATGCAGTCACCCGCGCTCGTCTCAGTGGGAGTTCTCGCCTAACCCTGTCCAGATAATACTGTATGCTGGTACTAAAATATGCTGGCTGAAACATAGAAATGTCAATAACTGGGCTCATTGTGGTTCAAAACCGCAGATATTACAAAACATATGTTGGACCTTCTTTCCTTTAGTTAAACTGAACAAAATAACAGTTGGTGAGGGGACCCATAGAGAGTAATGCTCAACCAGCTGGCCCACTAGGAGGGCAAGAGCCTTGCCTGGTGGTCAGGGCAATAAACTACTTGGCAAGAGTATTTTGATCAGGCAACTACTAGGTGTTAATAGCCTTTGACGTTTCGACTGGAGGCAGATCTTGGGTGGGGAAATGGATACAGACTGGCCAATTTGATACTTTCTTACCCCCACCAAAAGATCTGCTTGGAGATTACCAAGTACCTTGTCCAGCAAGTCGGCACAGTTCTTGCGAAGCAGGTATCATGTTCACAATACCCGTTAAATGAACCGTGCGTCTGGGCTATATACCTTAATAGTTGGTCATTTTGTGATAAATATTCTGTGTACACATGTTTGAAACATGAATATTCTGAATACTACGGTCATTTCTCATGTCAATCCTGCTCACTCGAACGTGCACAGGAGGTGAACACGTTATCGTTTCTGTGGGGTACACAAATCGCGTGCTGTAATGACAATAAAAATGCTTTCTGTTGTCCTTTTAACCGTTGCTTTTCACCATTTTCAATGTCAGTGCCGGGGGAGGGTCAGGGGAAAAATTTCAAGCCAGCGGAAGGGGCAGGGAAAATTTTCTGGACCAAGCGGGAGGGTCAGGGAAAATGGTGGGCCCTCTCACGCACGATCCCTCCTCCCGATAAATATCGTACGAATTTGGAAAATACAAGCGAACAATGTACGGCTCTGAGCGGAGTTGACGGTACTCTGACGAGAACAAAGACAAACAAGGTCAAAACTATAAAAGTATGAAATATTTGACGGATACAGATGGTGGTCTCACGGTGGGAGACGGAACCGAGCGACGTAAGTAATGTTTGAAATTTCCTCCTCGTTCAGGTCATGTTTTTCGGTCTATCACTATGGTGACGAGGAATAACACAGGACTCTGACAGAACTTAGGTGATGGCGTTTTTAAATATTCATGTCATTGCGTACTTCTGACAATAGTCGGCCTTGCTCCGGAATAATAAGAGCGTGTTTTCAGGTGTGACGAGAATATCTCGATGTTGATTACTGTAATTCCTGATTTATGTCACGGTATTAAAATATGTTTGTTATGTATGTTCGTCACTTCTCTACCTCGAACTTTATCATTACCGTTAACAAATAATTCTCCGACTTTCTTTTCTCTGCACCTGACATCAACAAGTCACCCAAAGATTATTGGTATGTAATTTAAAAAAACATAAGCAAATATTACTCGCATTTACTGTATTCCAATCCATGTTGAGTTCCAGTGGGTGCGTTGGTTGTATTCTACGTCATTGTTCATAATATTTAGCTTAATAACAAAGCTATTTTTGAACATAATTACAGGACCTTTGATGTTGCTATGCCATTGTACCGCATATTTGGAAAAACATTTTGCATATATATATATCACCATAGTACGACCTAGTCGGGGCAGTTTTCTGTGCTCTTTTTGGCCTTCGTTTTCGGAACAATTTGACTCTTAAAATTTCTGTTCAAGTGACTTGACTTGCAAGAAGACCAACTGTGTACAGTACGCCTCTCTACATTTCAGTAACATCAGACGGGACGGTCTCCTCAGCACGATCAGCGGACACCAACAGACCGTCCGCCCGCCCGGACGCGGCGTGATGGCGGCACGACTTTTCACGGCTACGATCATCTGCGGGCTGATGTTTACCAAAGGTAGGGGATATACTTACTTGTAGGTTTGTACACAAACTTATCGAGATGTATAACAAAAGAGGGATAAAGTCATAATATTAAAGTTTACGGTTTAATATGTCAAAAATTTTGTTTCTGTTTTAGAGATAGGTATGTTTTTATAACTAGCAGTGTGTCACAGAACTCGAGGCATGTTGATAAGGTTTGAGGTTTGTCAATGATTACAGCTACTGATTACTAACTCAGTGGGTCGCAGACAAGCCGAAACAGGGTCATGTATTAAGCTTCTGTTGACAAATAATTGTTGACATTGCTGGAGGCTGTGCGGCGTGAGATACATTCCAGGATTTTGCACAGTTTTCATCGACTTGAGTGCATGCATCTACCTTGTCCCTTTAACATAGTTGTGGTCTTACGACATGCACCGACACCGGTTAAGTAATATAAAAACAAATAATGTAGAAAATGTCTTGCTTTGTTTCGCATAACCGGTAAACTGCTTTTAGGCGTAACACACCAGCTTTGTACTCGTACATGTAAGTACAAGCTGCGTAAGACCTGTTTAAGCCACACCGGGAAGGTCCTATCCGATGGACGTCCCTAACCAAAGCTAGGTACTCATTTATACCTGAGTGAAGTGAGTAAAGTCGTGTAAAGTGCCTTTTCCAAGGTGACAATGTGGGATTCGAATCCGGGACCTCTTGGTTCCGAGCCGAAGACCCTACCGCTACGGCACACGACCCCACAAGTTTATTGAGCTACGTAGCCTTTCTCATCCGTTTCCTTTGTGGACGGGTTTTTCTTACAAGCAACTTGATAAAAACTATTGGTGTATTTGCCTCTCATGCGAAAGCATTTCATAATACAGTTTTTGTCTGAATCGAATGAGACATGTTTTGAGTAAACGCACAGAAACTCTTAAAAAATCTAATAAAGAACAGATGAATGGGAACACCAAAATAGACTATGTCTACACGTATTCATCTATTCAAACCACGTAGGCATGAGTCATCAAGGCGTTGTCGCCATGTCTTCACAGGATCGCCACAGCGCGCGCCTTCTTGAATTGTTGGAACATGAAGCGCTCACAGATAGACAACTGCAAGTGAATTTTATGATAATATCCTCCACAGAGTCCACATTTAAAGAGATAGGATGAACAAAACAAGTCAGGCATTTTCAAATTTGGAGGTAATAAACTTTGAAATAACAGTTTAGGTGCGTAAAAAGGAAGTCGGAGATATATTTGTTAACGGTAATGATAAAGTTCGCGGTACAGAAATGACGAACATACATAACGAACATATTTACCGCGGCAAAATCAGGAATTACAGTAATCAACATCGAGATATTCTCGTCACACCTGTGTTACTCACCTGAAAACACGTTCTTATTATTCCGGAGCAAGGCTGACTATTGTCAACAGTACGCAATGACATGAATATTTAAATAGTCCTCACCTACTAGTAAGTTGTACCAGTCTCCTCTGTTGTTTCTCGTCACCATAGCGACAGACCGAAAAACATAACCTGAACGAGGACGTGTGTTCTATACTACATAGTCTTTGTAACTTATAAAGGTAGATGAATCCCATAGTATGTTTGTTATACAGCAATCCTGTACAATTGTTGTGCAACAAAGTTTATTGTCATTGATAACCCCCACCCTGGTGAATTGCTGTGTAAGGGAAGTCAAATTAGGCAGAAATTGGCCAGAGATGACAACAATGACAATGCCATAAAAGCTATTACATCGTTGTTCAGAAAACGCGCACGAAACTCTCAGAAAAGACATTGTTGTGTGCCGTTGCTTTTGTGCCCACCCACTATTTCTGACTAATAAAGAACAGACGATAAACGGGAACTGAAACATAGACTGTTTATCATGAAAGTCCATCTGTGTTGGTAGTAATCATAGTAAAACATTAAACTTTATTCCAACACACAGTACAGAGAGATCAAATTTTCAGAGGCATTAAGGAGGCAATATATATAAGAGCACTCCAGCCTTCACTTAATAGAGATGGTGGACGATATAAACTCCCTGGCACTGTTGATCAATTGCTTACGTCACGTATCAGTAAAGTCTCGTGTGATTAAGGTCACGTGTTTGTAAACCGTAACTCTCGCGAGATCACGTTGTAAAGTGATTCTGTATCTGTATCTGTATCTGTATAGCCGGTATAACCGCCTTTTGGCGTAACGCACCGGCGTCGCAGGCACGCGGCACGGCGGCAGCTGGCTGTATTACACCGATCGACTTGTTACACCTAACCCTTGAACTTCTAACTCTAGACATTGTTTAAAGCTATCTAATGACAATGCCCCTACTGTACTTGGTGACAGTGAGTTCCACTCTGCGATAGTTCAAGGAAAGAATGAATTCTTGAACACCTCTATCCTCGGTTGATAACTCTGGTACTTGAAGGCATGGCTATTTCTTAGTAGTTGGGACGTCCACCAGTTTATTAGTCATTTTGTACATCATGCATAGTCTGAAGATTTTTCTTCTGTCTTCCAGTGAGGCCCACTGTAGGTTTCTTTTCATTTCCGTGACACTGGCACCTCTTTCATACTTGTTTATACAGAATCTTGCAGCTTGATTCTGTACCCTTTCCAATTTGTCTTTGTCTTTCTTTGTATATGGATCCCATACTGTCGCAGCATATTCTAGGTTCGGTCTTACAAGTGACGTGTATGCAAGTGATTTTACTCTAGTTGGACATGCCCACAGATTACGTTTGATTACTCCCAATGTCTGTTTCGCCTTAGTTGTGATATTACTAACATGTGCACCCCACTTCAGACCGCTTGTCAGAGTGACGCCCAGATACGGATGGATTTTTGTGGCTGCTAAAGCCTGGCCACAAAATTGGTAGCTAGTTGCATGTGGTGTTTGTTTGTTTGTTATGTGCATAATGTAGCATTTTTCGGGATTAAACTGCATGAGCCATTTGCTTTGCCATTCTTCCAGTGTGTTCAGGTCTTTTTGCAGAAGTTGTGAGTCGGTCTGTGTAGACAGCTCTACATACAACAGACAGTCATCGGCAAATAACCACACGTTTGAGTCAAGCTGATCTGGTAGGTCATTTATATAGAAGAGAAAGAGCAATGGTCCCAGGACGATTCCTTGAGGGACCCCAGGCGCTACTTTAACTGGAGCCGACGCCTTCCCTTCAACCACTACTGTTTGCTCCCTGTTGGTCAGGAAAGCCTTTAACCAACAGCCTCGGATTCCATAATACTCCAGTTTTAAGATGAGCCTGCCATGGAGGGACTTTGTCAAAAGATTTAGTGAAATCAAGTATTGTTAAATCTACCTGCCGTTTATTGTTCAGTGCGCCAGCTATGTCATAGACTGTTAGTATAAGCTGTGTTTCTGTGGATCGTTTGGCTCTGAATCCATGCTGGTAATCCGTCAGTATACTGTAGCTTTCTAAGTGCTTTATGACTTGGCTATGGATAATATGTTCAAGTAGTTTGCAGGATACGCAGGTCAGTGAAACAGGTCTGTAGTTGCTGGGGACCGCTCTATCTCCTTTTTTAAAGATGGCGCATATATTTGCACCTCTCCAGTCTTTAGGGATTTCTGCAGTGTTTAGCGAGTATTGGAAAATATTGGTTAGTACAGGTGCGTTTTCACTAGCTGTCAATTTGAGAAACCACGGTGGAATTTGGTCTGGTCCGGATGCTTTAGATGGATTGAGACCTTGGAGCATAGGTGATTGGTCATTAATTATCCTGATGAAGGCGACAGTGGTCGCTGAAAATTTGATCTCTCTGTAAACTGTGTGTTTTACTATAGACTGTTTACTATAGACTTTTTATGTCCACACGTATTTATCTATTCAAACCGCATAGGCATGAGTCATCAAGGCGTTGTCACGATGTCTTCACAGGATCGCCACGCGGCCTTGCTTCTTGGATTCTTAGAAAATACAGCATTCACAATTATACAACAGCAAGTAAATTGTATGGATGAGATTTTCCCCAGACTCCAAATTTCATGCGATACGGTGAACAAAACAAGTCGGGCGAAAAGTATCCATACATTTTTAAATTTTCATAAACTTTGAAATAAGAATTGAGGAGAAAAATTCTAAATGTCGTTCATAATGTGTAAGCATTAACTAGAAGAAAGCGCTTGTCTTAGCAATATTGGCAACTAATAAGCTGCTGGATATTCATATGCGATGTAATACCTTAGACTGTCAACACTTGCCATCAAAGACCAAGTAATTATGCCTCATATCACTGGAACAACTTTAAAAAATAGGCATTTTGAGACAGAACTGATAGATGTTTATGACATTTGCGACTTGTTGACCACCGTCGGAAGGCAACAAAATTTCGTCTTTTTTTTTCAAAATAAGGCGAAAGTCTATGCGCGCGATGAGCCTCTATGCTGTTTGTATTCTAAAGCAACTTTAATTATGGTTAGAGGATGTGGTTTACTGTATAACCATGTGCACCGGTAAGTAACTGAAGGCATTGGACGCTACGATATTGGGATTTTCTTTCACACAACCAGAGATTCGTCCTAGCTTGCTTCCGTTTCGATGTCTATCAGACACCTTCGTCAGAACGTTTTGACTGGAGTCCAGCTTTTTGCCGTTATATGTAGCCGATGTAGGTGGCGCTTTTGCGGCGAGAACACAATCTCAAACATGGCTTACTTTGTATCTCCCCTCGTCCCGGCTCACATTAGTGCCACCTACATCGGTTGAATATAGCGGCGAGAAGCCATAACCCAATCAGCTCATTTCTTCTCATAGATCCTATGCTTCTTGATCTGATTAGAAGCATAGGATCTATGAGAAGAAAAGGAAGAGTAAATAGGTAAAAACAATATTCAAGTCCATACCATGTATATGTTCAAATAAATATGTATAGAATCAGTGACCATGTATAAAACACATTAGCCTTCCTTCACGCTTACATAGTGGCGTTACGTTACCTGCACCTGATGATGTTATTTCTCATTCCACAGTAACCAGCGCCACCGGATGTGGAGGTGACCTGACGGCTCCTTCTGGTGGCCCTGTGACGTCACCCAACTATCCCGGTAACTATGGCAACAATGAGAACTGTGAGTGGCTGATCACTGTACCAGAAGGAAGCATCATTATCCTCACGTTTGACAGCTTCGACACTGAGGAACGTTGGGACTTTCTCACCATCTACGATGGAGCCAGTGATAATGCGAAAGAGATAAAAAAGTAATAATTATCATTTATTTATTTCAGACACTCACTGGCCCATAGTTAGACAGCGCAGAAACAAAACATAAATACATATTAAAAGAAAACCAACACGAATTAAATTCTATACAAACAGACGTTTCTTGAGGTTTGTTAAGTATGAGTTGCGATGGAAGGAAACCGACCTAAGTACAGACTGAACACTATTGTTAGAGTCAATAAATGAACTTTATTGCCCGACAGTTGTACATTGTACAATGTTGGCAACAAGTTCAATGTGAGCAATACGATAGGTCTATTCTAAGACACTACTTCAAAAAATATTAACGTATTGAAATGATTGTATCTGTATCTGTATGGCCGGTATAACCGCCTTTCAGCGTAACACACCAGCTTCGCAGGCACGCGGCGCGGCGGCAGCTGGCTATATTACACCGATCGACTTGTTACACCTAACCCTTGAACTTCTAGCTCAAGACATTGTTTAAAGCTATTTATTGACAATGCCCCTATTGTACTTGGTGACAGTGAGTTCCACTCTGCAATAGTTCTAGGAAAGAATGAATTCTTGAACACCTCAATCCTTGGTTGATAACTCTGGTACTTGAATGCATGGCTATTTCTTGTTCCCTTCTGGGCTGGTATTAGGTATTTATTAGTTGGGACGTCCACCAGTTTATTAGTCATTTTGTACATCATGCATAGTCTGGACATCTTTCTTCTGTCTTCCAGTGAGGTCCACTGTAGGTTTCTTTTCATTTCCGTGACACCAGCACCTCTTTCATAGCTGTTCATACAGAATCTTGCAGCTTGATTCAGTCTGTACCCTTTCCAGTTTGCCTTTGTCTTTCTTTGTATATGGATCCCATACTGTCGCAGCAAAATCTAGGTTCCGTCTTACAAGTGACGTGTATGCAAGTGATTTTACTCCAGTTGGACATGCCCACAGATTACGTTTAATCACTCCCAATGTCTGTTTCGCCTTAGTTGTGATATTATTAACATGTGCACCCCACTTCAGTCCACTTGTAAGCGTGAAGCCCAGATACGGATGGATGTTTGTGGTTGCTAAAGCCTGACCACAAAACTGGTAGCTAGTAGCATGTGGTGTTCGTTTGTTTGTTACGTTACGTTTATTACAGGACTTCTCTCTTTGTAAGGCACCACATTTATGTTTTGGCCTAAGTACCAGGAATTGTGCTAACGGATTCACACGAATTTAACGGAATGCATACGATCCATTATTAGAAACATACGAATTCTATGGATTCCATACGATCCATTACTAGAAACGAATCTTACGGAATACATAGGATCCATTACTTGGAAACATACGATCCTTGCTATATAAATTCGGTGACGTGGGCCACTACCACGTGACATCCGCGACGGATCGACGGTGGACTCTAGCGAAGTTATGTGTTTTCCTTTCTCCCTACAATATTTTTGGCTTAAAGAACTTTAAGGGTTTATCATGTCCTGCTAAAAACCAGAAACCTAAATCTGCACTTAAGTGGGCTTCGTTAGCGATATATTCGCCTGTATTTTAGACCAAAATTTTAGCAGGGCGAGACAAAGAATCGGTGTTAAAACGTACCGTAGTGCTCACATAACGTTACCAGTATTTTCAACAAATCTTGAAGCACTCTAGATACGATCCGATAGTTGCGACGGTTATGGATAGCGATTATCGGAGTAACTAGAAAGGCCGACATTTGCTTTGGAGCAAATTCAGCATGGCTTCACCACATTTTACGACATGGCAGGAACTGAGAAGGAGAATACAAGGGAAACAATGTTTCACATCGATATAAATATAGTATGAAGTGACATATAACTACGAATACAACAGTTGGATAGGTATATCCCCTACATCATTGATTAGTATTTTTATTTGCATAATGCAAACTGTTGATTTTCAAGATAGAAAAGCGTTTATGCCCCACATTCCAATGCTTGAGCAGGAAAGTTTGACATACCTACCAAAACAATTCAATGCAGTACCTACTTTTGATATGGTATACAGCTGTTCGTGAAGTTAACTCAATCAAATTCCAACAGCCAATGAGCAGGAAGATTAAAGGAAAGCTGCATGCCTATTGGTTCTTGCTCTGCATGCCAGACTGATGACTCATTGATAGGCACTATTGCAATTATATATTAATATATATATATATAACTATATATTGTGACCTAAAAACGGTCAAAAAATCCCCAATTATACAAGTTTCAGGGATAGTATGCCAAAATGTACAATTAATTGTTGTTGGTAGATATATGAAGCATACCCATACCAAATTTCAGATGATTTGAGTGTAATACCTGGTCTCCAGGACCCAAAATGTACAGATTTTGTCCAAAAATAGCCAAAAAGCCCAATTTTACACAATTTATAAGTAGTGTATAAACTTTATACCATCAATAACAACAATAAACATCTACACAAAAAACTACCATATATATATATATATATTTACAAACAAAAACACCCACCAAAACAATATCACACAGTCGAAGACATGAGCCCTACGAACTCTAGTATTTTTATGAATCAAAACTACACGAAGTAATAATGATAACCAACCAAAATGGGATATTCAAGCCACTCTTCACGCTTGACGTAATTCTGCATAACGAAAAACAGGCCCAAAAGCTGGTAATATTACAATAGTTTGTGCGTCAGATATTGATTTTTGTTTTGTTTTATTGTTTTATTACACAACATCTAGGCTAACGGGTCGCCACTCGCAAATTAGCCCCATCATCAGCACATCCAATACGATGTTCCTGAGGTTTACATCTAGCCGTAGGATCAGCCATCAGGGGTTCCAGTTCAACTACACAAGTAAGATCTTTGGTTACACTTCTCACATTTAAAAAAAATTAAGGTAAATGATATTATTTAGTATGCTGTTCAATAAAAACTGTATTTGTGGCGGATTATTTTGATTTTTTATTTTCAGTATATGATTAGTTTTGGGGGTCCAGAAGATGCGATTTTTTTTGCAACATAAAAATTCAGAAATTGTTTTTGGTCTGTCTCTGTGTATGTCTGTGTGCCTCTGTGTGTGCGTTTCCACATAAATGTTGTCGGTGTTAACTTAAGAACACCTTCATGAATTGTGATGATGTTTGCTATATGCTGGTAGGTCTTAGACCAAGCTTAAGATTACATTTGGGCCTCCTTCTAACGGACCTTGGTACTGCAGCAGAACTTCCTTTATTTGCATATTTTGCCCTGAACCTGTTATGGTATTAATTTTATGGTGGAAGATAGTTTTCATGTCAAGAACAATTGGTGTGGGTTTGGTCTCCCTATCAGCTTGTTCTGGAACTAAAGGGGTGAATGTTTTAAAGTGGATAAATCAAGAAAGGAACGACGAATTTTCTGGAGTTCAGGCACGTAGATAGCTTAAACAGAGATGTCAATCAAGTAAATTCAATGCCTTTATTTTACTTTGTAAAGCTTGTTCGGCCTGTAATAAGTCCTTAACCTTTAAAATCCATGATCACAATGTGCAGAATGAAATGCAAACTATGTAAATGGGGGCTTAATATGCATGATTGATAAGAAAACTTAAAAGTTGCATTGTTGCACACAATAGCACACAATATAAGTATGCAATATATGTCATATATGCAGAGTGGAACATTAACAGATAACAATAATGCAAATATACACATAATTG